AGGCCTGAGCCTCATACTGATAATTTTAACAAAACCAAGTACCCGATATTCAAAAGATATCAACACCATATGATGAAACAGCATCTCTAGTGTTTTCGGGACACTCACAAAGCAAAATCATGCGCGACAATTGTCATATTATTGATCATATCACAATATTTTTGATCGAAGCAGTTTAGCTGCTGTGCTGATCAACATGGAATGTCATGAGACGCCTGGTTATCTCACGAGATTCCATTGGTTGATCACGCTACCGGCAAGCTGTTGATCATGTGACCCAAATCATGTAATGATGTTAAATGGTGCAATACAATAACATAGACTATGTTGGTTGAATGCAATGAATTATGCGCTTTGCGTTTGTTTGTGTAGCTTATGTGCTTGATATTTAATCAGCAGTTGCTTGAAATTTGCAAATCAATAGATTCTCGTTGAGTCATGCTTATGCATATTTCAAGCAAACTAGACGTATTTCGGTCGTGAAATATAGTTTGAAGACAAGTTGGGACCATTTTTAGTAAGTATGGCGCGCACGCCAGCACTGGAATTTGTTGACCCACCTGTGCTCTACATGTTGAGGCACGCTAAATACACGTATTCACATTCGTACAAGGAGTGATGCTTTATACGCGAGGTGTATTGCACCTAGTTTGGAAACGAAATAATCAAGCTCAATCATCGCCTGTCAAATCTAGCTAGCCCGATTCGAGCTCATAACATCATAATCAATGCATAGCACGATGGATCTCAGCACGTCGTGGACAGACGACGCCGATCATACAACACAACTCTCAAGTCAGGCGCTTTGCTTCCACCTCTGGCAAACTCAGTGCACGCGGTGATCAAACGCACTCGCCATGGTCTGTCCGACGATCAGCCGAGGCTCATCAAGGTTGAGTTGGCAGCTCAGCCTGTCTTACAATCAAACAAGGAGAAGCACAGACAAGACTTGGGCTCTCGGTAAATACCAGAATACGCATGCCTCTTTTCCGTCCACCAGAGTCCACACTCAGAACGGGCGGACTTAAGTCACGCTTCTCTCATGTGGACCAAGTTTGATACCCCACAGTGCAATCCCATGGCATCGACCCACAGCACCAGCTCACGGTCAACAAAATTAGAAACATGAAGCTGATTGTTGGGCAGCCGTCCTCGCCATCTCGATGAGGTTGGCCAGTGAATCATTTGCTAGGAATCACATGACAAGATGATGTCGATGAGTGAATCATATGACAGGAAACACGTGACAGGCTAGTAACTGTGGCTTGATTCATGACAGACTTTGATCTCTTTCGTCTGACACCCATGGATCTGACACCACTTGGCCAATTGTGATTGTACTTTTATCATTAAATTTCACAGCACATCAGTCTGTGGCCACCGAGCTCCAGCAATGCAAACAGAAAGGTGCAAGTGAAACACTGAGAAAAAAAGAGCGACAGCCATTCAGTTGTGTTGCTGTTGGGATGCCTTGAAATGAGATGTTTTCAGGTTTCATCAATTAAAGCTGATCCTCGGATGGCAAATCTGTAATTGACGGAGTCAGCATAATGGTCAATATCTGATCATCCCAAAAAGTTGTATTTAATAACAAAATGTCCATAAAGCGAAGGGAGCAATGCAAAGAATAGGTTGATTGGTTTGTTACATCTCGTCAAAATCAGCATATTATGCACCAGTTCAACCATAAGAATTTCTTATTTAAGTTAAGTTCAACGCACATTGGTGTATCATATGAGTAGATTGATCTATACTCTTTAATCTGGATAAAGAGCCCAATTCAAGCTTGGAAGCAACCTGCATGTGACCGTGGTAAAATCACTTACCTGATATTTTCAATTAAGAAACAATTTTAGTAATGAACTAAAGAACAATTGCATGCAACCACTTTTCCATACCATCGATGATGTTGGCTGACGTCGTTTGTGGGAGCATTTTGGTAACTAAGCTGCATTTTGACGCCGTTATTGAAACAAGGGAAAAAATAGTAGCTATCCACAGCCTAGTGTATTCCATGTCGGTATTTAACAGGCAATCACAGGTTCCACAGGCTCTGTAGTGCGAGTGCATTAAATAACTTCGATCTAGTCGATTTGATAGAAATCGAGCACACACGAATCAATCATGCTTTTAGATTGCCGCGAGTGACCCAGAGACAGTACAAGAAATACTCCTCATAGTCATGATAATCGCTGCCAGCGGTTTGCTGTAGCTATGTGCTGAACTATTCCAAGTGTGGCTACTCGAGAACCCGAGAGCTTCTCGCAATGCAACACCAGTGTAGGGGTGACCACGGCACAATCAATTCAATTTTGAAACAGATTGCACTCTGCTCACCCTTGATTCGATAATGTCTCCTGCAGAATTCGAATGTATTCCGTGTACATGGTGCTGAAAATGCCCATCAACCCTTGTGAATAGACCAAAATTGAACGATTGTGATGCCAATAATGGATCTCTCTTTGTGAGCATGGATCTGTGCCTCTGGAGGCAGCTAGGATTTTTTAGGATTTCCCCATATTCCCAAGACTCTGATAGAAATTATTCATGCCAAACGCAATGTGTCGAATTTATGATTTTCTTGTGTTTGTCTATCTTCCCTTCAACAATCAGGTCTGCTTGCCTCAGAATGGGTACGAGGTGGAGCGGCGGCCTCAAAAAAGTGGATCGATGCTTGTTGATCTTCAAAATTGTGGGAGCAACGTGAGCTACTTCCTTCCTACTTTTGTTTGGTATGTTGCTCACCTTCTGCGTTGCCGTTGAAGCCTTGAAGTTGAAGTCATAGATATTCACTGAAGTTCTCGCCTTGTTAATGCAGTTGCCTCATGGAGAAATAAAATTCTTTAGTGATGACAACAGATTTGGCGAGGCCGCAATCAATTCGATTTCTGGTTGTTTGATGCTTGCTTGCAAAATGGCACACAGCAGCCCATTTGTGTTGCCCTAGCTGATTGTGAACTGTCGCCATTTTCATTGGGTTTGATTCCTCGTTGTGAATGTTGGCATGTACAATCCTTTTCCTGGTGGCTGGTCGCACTGCTCCTCTGCCAAACTTTTGACGACGTAGCTCAGCTGTTGTCATTGCGTTGGTGCCCCCTTGCTGCGCAGCATGTGTAGAGGGGCATGCAGTCCCAGCATGGATTGAAGGACCAATCCTGGACAACACATAAATTGTGTCATGGAACATAGATTCATACACAGCACAAGACCCCGCCAAGCAAAGAATTGCCGCCTGAAAAAACATCGAACTCTGACCCTTGGCTCTAGCGTTGGCGAAGGTCCGCCATTGGTGTGGGTTCAGCCCATGGGCAGGCTGGCTGATGTTTCCCCGCCTTCATGCGATTCTGGTGCTGGAAGCCGTGCCGCCTGCCTCCCTTTTCTTGCATTGTTTTGATTACCGTCGGCGCACTTACCCTGATCGCTCGACCGCGATCCCTAAGGCGCTCTGCAGCGGTGCGGTGCGGAGCAACACTCCCTGTGTGCACCGTCGTCCTGTCCCACAGCGGTGGGCACAGCCGCGTGAGGCCGCTCACGTATCGCAAGTGCCGCCCATGCCGCCCAAAAGTTTTGAAAATTTTCTTGGCGGGAACTGTCCATCTGGGATCCCAAAGTATCCCAGATCAAACGCAGGCTCCGACGGACGAAGAGATCCTGAACCATAACGCTGAGAACGTCGTTGGGGGGCAGATCGTCGCCAGCAACGCCCACGAGACCTTCGCTGTGGACAACCCCAGATCGTCTGCGACTCGAGGAATGCGACTCACCTTCATGCATAGCGCTTCGCCAAGCCCATGCGAAGTCTGAGCCTCGGCGGCCGCCGTCGCTGCATTCCAACTATGCCCGCCAGCCTTCCCCATCACCAGCGGGTGGCTGGTGGCAGGCACAAAGCCCGTGACAGCCCAACTGTCACGATCGCCGATGCGGCAATTCAGGACCCACGGCCACTGATCCACGGTGGCCTTGTCAGCACAAGAAGATGGGATTCGAACACAGAAAAGCTGAGGCACTAATGTATTCTCCGCAGGATCCATATCTCCGAGCCGTGCCCCCGCCAGCGGTATCACTCTGGATGGCATCATATGGGCATCAATCAATGTCACAGTGGCGCCAAGCATCTCAGCGCGATGGCCAGCGAAATGCCAAGGCGGCAACTGCCACCCTGGTGACGCGTGCTGCGATTTGCGGACTGTGTCGACAGATACGAGTGGCCGGGGGAAGCTGCCGCGGGTGGGGCGCGTCCTTTAAATGACTGGCTGAATGGCCACCTTGACACTCAAGCCTTTGCTTTGACGGCCACCTTTGCAAAAGCAGCCGCCTGCTGTCGGCGCCGTTACGGCTTAACATCACCCGAGGAAGCTGCTGCTCGTGGACACGTGGCCTCCGAATGACTGAACCGCTGGATCCCGTGATGGTCAGTCCAATCCTGGAACCCATTCGTCTGAATAGCGCGAGTTCGCGCGGCCAGCGTGCCATCCCGCCTGACGAGCTGTCAGCTGTCGGTAAAAAGGGCCCGCATCACGCGCACCCCTTCCCGCCAATCGACGCCCTATTGGCCTCAACGCTGCTCCAGCGCAGCACGGCCGCATAACGCGGCTGTTCACGGCGGCCGCTCACCGCCTCAGACGGCCAGTCAGCTTCAAAGTGTGACGTTCCATGAAGCTACTCTGTATGTAGCCCCGTAGGCATATGAGCACGCTCCAGCAAGAGTCAGAGCAACCATCCCTCCCCCACCTTTTTCGGCAAGCCGAGCCTCGAACGCCGCAGACACGCCTAGTCTCCGCAGCGGCAGTCTCCTTCACACACCCCACCCCCCCACCCCCCTTCGACTCGGCCGAGCACCGGCCACCCTCCTGTTTGATTTCTTTCGACGCCTGCCAGCCATGGAAACCATGCCCTTGCAGTTGCCCGCAGAGCACGGCGGCCCCACGGGTCCCATTCTCCTGATGTGCTCCCCCGACCTGGCTCAAGGGTTGCTCGGGATGGCCCACAACGGGCCCGCCATGGCGATCGCCCCCCGCCGCGGCCAGTCATTCGGCCAGGAGACGACGAAGTTGGCGCCTTCGGCGGCGGACGCGGCCCGCAGCCAGCTGGTGATGATCGCCGGTTCAGGCAGCGGGCAGATAGATCTGGCGGCCTTGAGAGGGGCATGGGGTGCCCAGGAGCTGTCACATGGGCAGGCGGGCCAGCTCCATGACAGGGTGGTGACCACCGAGCCGCGGGCAGCGTCGACGGACACGGGAATGCACCGGTGGGCTTTCACGCGTAGTCCGAGTCGATCTTTGTCGCGGTTTCCACAATTTTTTGTTTCCTTACTGTTTGGCTGGCTGCCCGCTTGGAGGCGGGGCCTCGGCAGATCGACTTGGCGGCGGTCGCGCCGAAGGCTGATCGATCGCACGTCACGCTCCGCGCGTCACTTATCGCTTGTCAGCCTTCGCACGTCACGCGCATCCAAATCCGCCGCGGACATCACCATCCGGGAGCAAGCTGCAACCCGTTGGGGGATCCCTGACCAAAGCATTGACCAATGTAACGCGTTGACTACCCTAACATTCTTTGATTGTTTTCATCGTGGGCGTGCGCGAACAGGAGGCTGTCATCTCCGGGACCGGACAGCAGCGAGGGCTGCTCGCCGGCGGATCCCCGCCCACGGCCCGACCGCGCGGTCCGTCGCGTCGCGAGGGGCTGCGATCCATCGGATCCGAACGGCCAGCTGGCAGCCAGCGCTGGGGCTGCGGACCAGTCGGCGACGGACATGCGCCGGAGGAACAACCGCATCGCGCAGAAGACCTTCCGAGAGAGGCAGAAGCGGCGCATCGAGGAGCTGAACGACGGCATCAGCGCCTTGAAGGACAAGGTGGGCCCAGCAGGAGGGGAGTTTTAGAGTTCGAGGCGGGATGGGGTTCGTTGGGAGGGCGCCCGGAGCCCACCGGAGGGATTTGGTGGCCCTCCCAAAATTCCAGCTAGAGGGATGTCGGGCGCCAGGGGGTTTGCGTTGGCGACGTGCGTGGATCTGCGGCTTGACGTGCTTGACGTCATGGCGTGATCGGATATAGGGAGCTTGGATTACGTCCCGAGCGGTCGGAGGGGGTCCACGTGGTTGAATGTGGCGCCGTGGCGGCGGCGACATAACGGGAGGGTGTGGGTGACGTGGTGGTTAGGCGTCCGTGACGTAATGGTGGGCGGGCAAGGATTGTGTTGTGCCAAGGGACAAGGCCTCCGAGGCGAGATGGTTGGGCGGGGGTGGAGACACACGCGGTGTGGCCCGACCCGATAATTCCCGAGCGGGCTCATTGGAATCCAGCACAGCGGATGTTGCTGGTGCGTCTGCGCAGCGTTGGCGCCGCCCTTGTGGAAAATAAAGAATTGGGCCCTTGGGACTGATCGCCAAGATGTCATCTGATGGCGTAAACTGCACCAGCCGAACGCAGCAGCCTGGTGTTTGCCTGTCAGATGGCTATGACCATCTGAGTTTAGGTTAGCCATGAGCTTAGGTTTGGTCGGATGGTATTTCCACAGCATTCCACAGTGATTGTGCTGATTTTCTCCGTCTTTCCAGAATCGAAATCGACTGTCACGGGATTGCCCACCACGGACGGCAGCGATCTGGGCGCACCCTGACAGTAAAACAATCTAGCAACTGTATCAGATTGATGATAATGAGCAACCTGAGTGCCGCGTTTAGGAAGCGAGCGCAACATTTCAATCTCCACTGTGTTGCTTCGTGTCTGGGCTGTTCGTTGTCCTTGTTTGTTTTTAGACTGTACTTGAGCTCTTTACTCAGTGCTTGTTTGTTAATTTCATGATTTGCGCCATTTCTCTGAATTAGTGTGGTTGGATTTGTTTAGGTTATTTGCGGACGGCTTCCGCCATATCTGTTAGGTTCATGGCTGACGAGATTCAGCGCTGTCACAGGTACACGAGCTCATGATCATCAAAGCCAAGCTGGGAAAGGAGAATCAGATCCTGTGGGCGCACATGGAGCACAACGGCGGGCCGTCGCGACCCAAGCAGGCCAAACTGACATCTTCCTCCAACAGGAGCCCTAGCACCGTCACTGCGTAAGGTGCTGTCCGCATTCTGCGAGCACCCTGGTGTGTGTTCCATATTTCGCATTCGTCACGCGTTCGAGCTGCATGTGACAGTGCAAACGCAGGACTGTTTCTGTTGCAGCAATAAAAATAGAACATCTGTTTTATTCTGGAATATTCCGGCGGGTTGGATCTGTACGCGCATAATTGGCGGCGCGCAATGGTTGATGCCTGTCGCGTATTAGCAAGGCTAACAAATAAGTCCTGGAGCAGCGGCCCCGCAGTCTGCTGATGGCGCTGCGTAGTTCTGGCTCGTATGCTCTGGCCAACACATTGAATGTCCTCTTTGCCGATTGCACATGTACGCAGACATGCTTGCGTGCGCGCTGATCGTTGTCATGGACGAGGGCAGCAGCATTAAGCGCTCCAGTGCCGCTTCGGTGAAGGCTTTTGTCCCCAAGCTGCGGCGCTTGGATTGCAGTCCGTTCTCAGCTGAAAACGAACGTAAAATGAACAAGGATGAACGACTTTGATCATACTCCATTTTGAGCTGCTCCAATGTGCCTAATTAGAACGAAATTTTGTTATTGCGCAGGCTAATCGTGGAGGATCGTTTGCCTGTGGTCCATCCCACAGACGACTGAGGATGCGGGAAATCATCGAATGCAAAGGCTGCAAGAAATGCACAGACATGCGGGCGCTTGGGACGCTGTAGGCCGAGCGCGTTTCCAAGTCGGATTTGAGCTGTATATGGGCATGGCATCTGAAACCCCTCGGAATGATCCGTCGCATGGGCTTCGATTAGATTACTGAACGCAAGATGTAGACCAAAGATCCCGATTGTACATTATTTTCATTTTTATCTTTATGGGCAGGAGGGAACAGCGACGAGAATTTGTGTGCGAGGGAATGTAACCGCTGGTCCGATCGACTGAGTCATTTTCTGGGCTTTGATCCATGGATTTGCAGAAAAAGCAAAGAAAGCTGATTTCCAATGCGGCCCTGACGTGTGCTTGAATTCACATGAAAACGGGCGCGGGGACCACAAAGCCCAGCAGAACGCACTCGCGTCATACGCGGACACATAACACCAGAAGAAAACAGCCTGTTTGCGATGCCAACTGCGTTGCCATCTGACAGAAATCGATGCCATCGCAGCCGCTTTTATGCCATCGCAAACACTGTGATAGCATCTATTTGTGTCAAAACGGCATTGCAGCTGGCACCGCAAACATGGCGTTTTCTACCAGTTTAATGGATCCTGGTGTTGAAGTTAGTGCAATTCAAACTGACTTGGTTACAAATCTGTTCCAAGTCAATCTTCGAAATCAGGTTGACAAGTTCTCAGCAGGATTTCATGGCAGTCAGTGAGCTGCACTTTATGCACTCCCAATGAGCGTATGAAAACGGCAAAAAACTCATTGACCAACTGCGGCATGACCGTCATCTATGCTTTAATCAACGCGCCAGCAAGATGCATCTCGCAGTGGTGGCGACAATGAGAGCATTATGTTGAGCTGTGCTTACTGGATGCCTTCCTCTATGCCATCATAAAAGATGCAGATTCCCTTGGAAGTGTTTCGGATTGCATTGCGGCCCTTCACGTCTTAATATTGGGCATCTAACAGATATCGCCGAAACGCGGCTACGTAATTTCAAATTCGAGATGATATCAATGGCGACGGACGACAACACAAATTCGTTCCTAGAAAGGCGCACAAGCAACACAGCAGCGAGGTGTATAACCAAATTAAACACAGTTTAAGTCCATTTTCGAATAGTCCTGGTTTGGTAAAAATCGTGCATCAATAATTTACTAATACCCGCACTAAATCGTGCGGGTGATGGTAAACTATTAAGGCACGATTTTTACCAATCCAGTACTATTCGAAAATGGACTTAAACTGTGTTTAATTTGGCTATACGCCCCACTGTTGTGTTGTTGTAACACTGCTACTAACCCTAGTATTCAAATGTTAAAATTAGTGCCAACCGTGCCCCAGCGGTTCCAGTTCATGCACCTTGACCTTCTGTTTGGTGCCATTCTCACCAGCGGCAGCTGCTTATCACGTGACGGTGTGCAGTACCCCAACCCGAATACGTGTCGCATGCCAGGCAGCTGACGTGCAGAAAAGGGGCACAAGAAGATTCTAGACCTTGCCGCACGGCGGCTCCGGTCCAACTGTCGCAATGCGCCTCGGCCGCCCTGCTGGCTAGACCTCCAACGGATGACTGCCCGGGCGAGGGCCGGACACAGAGCACCGACAGAGTGTGATCGTATCTGTCCATCCTGCCTAGCAGCTGCTCGCACACCCCCAGCGCGAACCTCCGCAGCTGTCCACGGACGTCATAACTCCCTTGCATCCGCCCTGTGGGCGAAGAGGGCTGCCAAGCAGGCACGCCAGCAGCCGTGCGCCGTCTTGCGCGCATCCAAGGCCGGAACGTCTCCGGCAGCCACAGGCGAACGGGGATGGCCGGCAAGACTCTTTGGACAAGCAGGCGTTCCGCGAGGACGAGCGGCTGACCGGGTCCAAATATTGAAGGCGACGAGCTGCCGCAATCAGTGTGCGGGAGCGCCATGGAGGTCGGCGAGAGATGGTGGCGGGTGAGCCGAATGGCCTAAACGCGCTTCGGACTTGGACTGATCCATCAGTGGCTTGGCTGTGGATGCATGTCCTTGCCCTTGTCGCCATTGGGGGCGGAAAGTGTGACGGGGAGAGAGGTGCTGTGCAGTCATCGGCGCAGAGGGGACTGCAAACAGCCCTTTGCTATCGCTGACGCCCATCAAGGGACGAGGTTCGGGACGCGGTCCCAAAGAAGCGACAGGAGACGCGAGTCTGTGACCGCCGCTGACCACTGGCCGGCTGCTGTGTCCGTTTTCGAGACTCCAACTCGTGAGTCGGTAGAGGGATTTCACGTGTGCCGCAAACTAATCGACCAATAGATCAACGAGGCCCCCCTGGAGGTTCTCCCCGCGCTGTCCCCCGGCTTTCGTCTGCCACCGCTCTCGCGCTCCTATTGGCGTGAACGGCAATTGCCGACCGTTCGCGGCCCACACAGAAGATGATCTGCCGTATTGGGTGGCACCGGCGTGCATGGCCGCCAAGTCTGACGTGTGCTTGTGGTGCCTCTGGTGTGGACGCGACCTTCCATGCGTGCCGCGCGGTCGGTAAAAAGCATCAGAAAGCCGGTTGCCCGGCAGAGCCAGCTCCGGGCGCGCCAATCTCCAGAGCGTTGCTCTTGACCGTCGAGACTGCGGCCTTTGGGATTGCCAAGGACTGCAAGCCGCGGCGGAAGTTTCGCTTCTTACCGACGGGCGAGGAAGAGCGATTCGGGGAACAGGGATCAGGGAGAGGCACCCGTGCAGCAAAAGGAACAGGGATCAGGGAGAGGCACCCGTGCAGCAAAAGGACAAGGTGAGAATCGCAAAACAGCCAGGTCTCGCGTAACTACCGCCGCCCAAGCTTCAACATGGCGGCCCGGCCGACGAGCTGCCGGAAAGAGCCGCAAGCGCCTGGACCCTTCCCAGCAAGTGGTTGTCGCCTAAAGATTCCGATTCTCAACCGCTCCGAATCACCCACCAACAACTCGGCTTGGGGCGGAAACCCTTCTCTGGCAGGTCAGTTTATGAGGCACTAGGTCTTGTGCCATTTGCCCGCAAACTGCGACAGGGCTGCGCTGCGGCATCCCCACTGAGGGAGAGGGCCGCGGGGAGGCGAAGTGAACACAGGCAGCGGGGGACGGTGTCAGCGTCTGGCTGATGTCCGTCCATAACACGTATGGTTTGCGGCGCCACAGTACACGCAAGGCTATCTATTACCGACCGACGTTGACTGTGCACCCAAGTCACCAG